AGAGGAAAAGTGTGAAACGGAAATCTCACCAACCGACCAACCGACCAACCAACCATTTTCTCGTGGCATATCTGAATCAATTTGAAAGCAAGGGTATTCTATCACGATGATGAATGAGGATGTGGAAGCCGCCGGTACTTCTTATATGCTTCATGATCAGCATGGCAATGCTGCTATGAATATGAATGCCCCTTCATCTCCCCAAGGCGGCCAGACGACTAGCATCAGTACGATGTCAGGAAATACAGCAGAAGAAGAAGAGTTTCAGTACCACAGACACGCAGGTGGTGGTGGAGAAGATCCAGATGCCGATATACCCATGCACACCAATGCCAGTCCCAACCGCCCCAATACCAATACAACCTTTGAGTTGTCCCCCATCCACCAGGATCCCAACCAGACTCAGGTTAATATTACAACCAATACTGGTAGCACCAACCACAACCATGGCAAACGCGGCAAGAAACGCTCGACCCACAGCAGTGGCAAGGAAGTGGTTGTCATCGTCAAGTCTTACTATGTCAGTCACAGTCTCAGAGTTCCTGCCTTGCTATCTTCTCCCAAACCTGCTGAATTGGAAACCCTATCCATTTCCACCTGGTATGAAATACAAGCCCAGCTGGAACCACTCATCAAGAGACACTTGTTCCTACCCAAATCGTACCTATTGGTGCCACTGTTATGCATCTTGGCCGGTGTCGGATGGTTTGCGGCCTTTTCCATTGCCGCTGCCGAAGCTACCAGTGCGGCTCAAAATGATAATTCCAATAACTACAACAACAATCAACAAAACTACGATAACAATGATGATAACAATGGTGGTGGTGATGACCAAAATGAAGATGATCAATACGCCGACAACTACAATGACAACTACAACTACAATAACTACCAAGCAGACAACTACCAGCAACAACAAGAGTCAGCTGCTGCTGCTTCTACCCACACGGTCAGCATGGTCTTTTGGGTATTCATCTTCTTTATCATGCTCACATTTGTATGGTTCGGCTTCGCCCGATGGGTTGCCAAACGCAATCATCCCGTCGATGATGAACTCAGAGAAGTCTGTCTGGAACTGTCGCGCAGCAAGACACAATCCGAAGGCTATCGACTCGAATATCACAAGGCTAACTATGACGCGCAAGATCCCTTTCGAAACGATCTCTTTGCCACACGGGTACTCCGCTTTGTACCGCTGCCCATTCCGCGCAAAATCACCGTGCCCAATACACCGGACGGATCCTTTTCGGCCGACTTTATTGCCCGACAAGATTCCGTTCTCTCGGAATCCACGGAATCGTCCGAGTTTCCGACTCTGCAATCTCTGTCCACCACCGACTTTCATCCCTTTCCCGTCACGGATCGCATCTTGGAGAATCTCCTCTCTTTGTTGTTCGTATTGGTCCTGTTTCAATGTGTCAATTCATTGCCGTAACTATCCAAACGATTATAATATTGTACAGTGCTTGTTTGTAAAAAGAAGAAAGTAAATAGGTGACTCCTACCGGTACAGTACTGTACGGCAAGTAGAGTACGAACCATAAATGTAATGGGCAACGGAACAATCAATGGGGATTTCAGGGCATTGAAGAAATGGGAATTCTTCTGTTGTTGGAGATGGAATGAATGAATGAATGAATGAATGAATGAGTGTCGATTCGATTCTACCCGTGGCGTGGCGTGGCGTGTAAGTACGGTAATCATGACTAATAGTTTTTTATGCAAAGATAGATGTAATTGTGTGCACGCCGTCGCTCTTGGGTCTTGTGGCTTGTGGCGGCTCGTGAATGGTGCTCTTGTTGGCCTCTCGGTCGTTTTGATTTGGTTCGTTTTGTACGGTAGACCCTCGGAGGTTGGTGATGTGGTCCCAAAGGGGTTCTTGCACGTGGCTCGGCGACCACACAAATAAATAAGGAGACTGAAAAGCGGCCTGGCTGTTTCCCTCGGTCTTCTTGGCTTTACCATCATACGGTACCGGTACGTCTGATTGAGGCAGGGATCGTGTGGCATCCCGCGCCCAGTCCTCTGCATCTGCTCGCATCACAAGATAGTCCTCCGAAATCAAATGGATGTTGTCAAGGGCTGTCTCCTTCGATAGCGGCAATGGTCTCCTTGACCTCCTTCTGTGCTTCCAACTCTGGCTGGGTTGCCTTGGCTGTGGCAATCTTGCGGTTTGCTTCCGCGATGTTTTCTTGCAACCCACCAAGTGTTAAGCAAGCAAATGGGTTAGCTATTTTGTCTTGGACGATCTTCAACAATGCTTTCGTGTTGCTAATTTCCATCATGCTACCGGTATACGCCCACTTGTCCCACGTCACCTCCCCCTGCATGTGCTCCTGAGTGGTTTTAGCCATCTTCGTTTCCATATTCTCTGAAATGACACGCCTCATGTCTTCAGCTTGACCTTCGAGTCCACGAACAAAAGCTGCACTCTTGTCCAAGAGGGTTGTCTTGTCCATTTGAGCTTGGGAACGCTCACGAGAGGCTGCTTCCAAAGCTCGTTCCGTGCGCATTTTTGGAGCGTTCGAGAGTCGTGAGCATCTTGTTGAAGCCGTCAATCAGATGAGAGCACTTGTTGACGACACTCGTACAAATCGTCTCAGTCTCCACAAGTGGAATGTATGCCGTTGTGCTCCCATGTCTCTCCCATGTAAACTTGAGCAAGAAAAGGCGATGAGAGAGAGACAGAGGAGAGAAAACGAACAATGACCAACCAAGCCAAACAATAGACTTACCGGCGACATCAGCTGGAGTACGAAGGAGGAGGATCTCTTCACCACCATTGACACGTGCGCGTGCACCGTTGACTTCAGCCCCGTCCGCCATGGTTGGTTTGGTTGGGTTCTCGATCGCTGTGTTGGCCAAAGGATAGATTTGCGCTTTGGGTTGCTTCGCGGAAGATATTGTGATATTGTGATGGCAAGGCGCCCAAGGGATTGTTCGTCAAACGTCAAACACTCTCTTGGATCTTTGGCTCGTAGCCTGGGTCTGAAAGGGGAAGGACCTTCTAACTAACTTAATGTCTCTCAATGGTGCTTTCTTAAGAAGATAAATGACTTGGGCCACACTTTTCTAATGAGATTGACGGCGGGAGTCAGTCTCGCGACAGCACATCGCAAAGAAGCCACAGATTGCGGAGGTCAAGGCGAGGATAGAGAGTGAAGCTACTGGCCAGCTAGTTTTGTCTCTAGGTCTCCCGGAAACGTCTTGTCGGGGAGTCCTTGGAATTCTCAATTCAGCAAAAAGATCCTTGATGGGTGTGTGTTCCCAGCCGCCAACTAAAAGATGGGTCCAGGCACACAATGGCAGCAACAGACATCAGCGGCCGTTTTCCAACCTCGAAACACTGACTGCATGTCGCCTTGGAGTAAGTAAGTGATGGTGAGGTAATAGTTCGGTTGTCTCACAAGGAAGCCCACGGTCTGCTGTGTCTACGTCTCATCAGCCATCGGGAGCTTTGGAAAGAGAGAGGTGGGACTAGCACCCACAACTCTTCCCACTTTTGTCCCGTGGCTCTTTGTTGGCTGGAGCGTGTAACTAAAAAGCAGACGTCTAGAAACTCGAGTTGGGATTGTCAATTGCACTCCTCAGATAGTCCATGCATACACAAGCTAGCCTTACTGGCAGGTCGTTCCATGCATCCACCTTTTCTCCACAAGATTGCAGAGTGGCTTACTCGCAATCTTGCATTGCCGCATTGGGTGCGGCATGATCTCGCAGGAGACCCTCGCAGAACTGGTGGGGCATCGGCTAGCTACGGTAGCCAGCAAGGAGGGCAGGTCTCGAGGATGGCGTAAATGGCTGGGCGTGCTTCGAAGGAAGCCAAACTCTAGGCAGACGGGCGACAGGGAGGCACATGCACCTATACACAAGACCCCATCTGTCACTGATCAAGGCCAAACTGAGGTACGGTACTCTGACTTCATGATGCCCTAAGGTGTACGCTACTGGTAAGAGGTGGCGGAGGACCATCATGGATCAGGGCGGCCATCGAATCTACTATAGAATCACCCTCTGCCTGGGGTTGGCCAGCCAGGCCACCAGAAAAGATACGGTAGCTACCAGTAACACTTGCAGCACTCCAGACTCCAGATTCAGATTCGATTCGATTCAAATCCTGCAGCTGCAACCACAAAACATCCTTCACCTGCCAGGAGATTTTATACCTTCAATGTGCTCCTCTGTGGCTGGCATTCATGGTGCGTTGAAAGTTGCCCAGTGGCGGGGCCTCCTCAGGGCAGCAGATCGTAACTAGCTAGGACAATTCATATCCTGGTTAGCTCTTTTTGACAACTGATGCCTCGACTGTCACTCGACTCAAATCCGATGGACGCGGAGGTCAACTCAACTCGGAGGTCTTAAAGCTGGAAGCGACCACTTCTGAAGTTGGCCCAAGAGGAGGCTTGGAAACTCGAGGCAGCTCTACATGGACTTCAAAACTGGAGTAAGGAGTAGTAGTACGATACCAGGCTGCGAGGCTGGTACTGGTACCAGTAGTTGGCACTTGGTTCTTTCATTCGTACCCAGTTTGATAGATCTGAGCTCTTAAATCATAATACGACCTGCATGTGGGTGACTCGTCACTGGTGGATGTTACTATTAATAATGTAAATATGTAAATACATGTACTACATGTATTACATGTACTACAATGTCATTACTAATTACTAGATGTAGTAGCAATGGAAGTGAACTGATACTAAATAGATACTGAATACCGTACGTACTAGCTAGTACTATAATAGTAATTACTGAGTATGCTAGACTACAGTGATTTTTAAATAAATTACTAAAAACTGGTTTAGGAGTCACAGTTTACTTCTTAACCAGCAAGAATTGAGGACATCTTGCCTTTGTTATAACTTTGGTCGTTCCTCACACCTCACATCTCCATGCCCTTCTCCTGCCACATTGGTGCGCTACACTCAGTACCAGGTAGCTCTCTGCAAGACAGCAGCTGCCATTGAGTTAGTCTTTTTACTCCAAAGAATCTTGTTTGGCTTGAAGCCTCATCAGCGAGACATCTTGCATCTCTGGCTGGAGGCTCCAAAACATCTGGGCTCACAATTACTTTCTTTGCCATCAAATAACACATCACATCACATCACATCACATCAAATCATCAGATCAAATCAAACCCATCAACACCATGGACTTGTTTGTCAGCGCCGTTGTCCCAACTCGTCGGTCTCTTCCAGAAAAGTCACTATTGGCTGGCAGAAGAGGTGGGAGCCTAATCCGCAAAATGTCAGAGCGCAGCTTGGTCAAGAAGATTTCAACCTCCATCAAGTTGGAAGGAGTGGAAGAGGATGGAGTGGATTCCGACTTGGAAAGTACCTTTAACAATAGCAACAGTAGCTTTTGCTTTGATCCAGAAACACACAATTTTGACATTGACGAGGAGGACTCGTTTGCTGGACCCAGCCTGTCACGAGTACAGTACATTCAGTCCACCAAAGCAGAGCAAGAGCAGCTCCTATGGGAAATGGCAGAGGACAAGACAACGGCTGCTTCTGTCTTGCCCCCCTTTCATCGGAAAGAACTCGAGTGGGATAGCAAGAAGGTCTTGGGATCAGGAGCTTTTTCGCAGGTCTTTGCTTTGGAGTCTATCAAGAACCTCAACGGTGAACATAACGAGAAACTCAGCTCTCTTCAAGTGGAATCACGGCTCAAGCTGTTCAAGAAGACCATGGGCAAGAACCAAAACTCCTTGGTCGTCAAGCACTTGAACCGCAAGCTCTTGCGCAAGCCAAAAGAGTTCAAAGCTGCCGCTATGGACTTGGAACGGGAAGCCAAGATTCTGGCTCTTGTACGCCACGCCAACATTGTTCGTCTTCGAGGAGTCACCTTGGGAGGTACAGCTGCCTTGGATAGTGGTCACTACAACGACTACTTTCTAGTCATGGATAGGCTCTGTGATACCTTGGACAAGCGCATCCAACGATGGAAGGAAACTTTTGCTCCGGGTGTGACCACCATTGCTATCTACGCACAGCAGTTGGCATCCGCATTGGCCTATCTTCACGATCATCGACTGGTCTTCCGGGATGTTAAGGCACCCAACATTGGCTTTATAGAGTCCAATCGTTCCAACAACGACGCTGCACATACACTACCCGACCGTCTTCAGCTCTTTGATTTTGGATTGTGTCGCTCGTTGCCCTCTCGGTGCTTCCATGCGAGCCATGCGGATCAGGAAACCTTTCACATGTCTCTTGCCGGAACGACCCGCTACATGGCACCGGAACTGATGCAAGGTCACTCCTACAACGTTAAGGTTGATGTCTACGCATGGTCGTTGGTTTTGTGGGAGATGATTGAGCAGGAGAAACCCTACCTGGAAGTCAAACCTCGTCACTTCCAGCAGTACATTACGGAGCTGGAAATTAGACCCGCTATGGATGGTCGCAAGTGGGAGCACGCCCCCGCGGCCCTCAAAGACCTGTTGAAGAAGTCATGGGCTGCCGACGTTGATGATCGTCTCGCCATGGCAGACGCGTATCACAAACTCTCACTCATCATTGAGGATTTACAAGACTCGTCGTCGTTCTCCACCAGCACTAGATCGGCAAGGCCTGTGGAACCAGACGAAACCAAAGCGACTGCAGACTTGGTGGCCAAGTTGCCAGTGTCCGTTTGCTGAACGTACGCAACGGAGGGAAAACAAAGAACCAACACACCATTAGAACCAATAGAACAATACCGGTAGGGTACAACAGCTGTAAGCTTTTTAGAACTGAGAAGGAAAAGAAGTGTTGCAGAGTACGTAGTTAGATAGCTGCGAGTCTTGGATCCGGCATCTTCCTGTACAGCGTCTTCGGGGCCTTCAAAGAGACATTTGGGCCAGATTTGTACTTCGGAGGACCAAAACTCTAATAGAGAGCTGCTAATGGCACTGGATGGATCTGGGAGTTGAGGCAGTCGTATCAAGCCAACGCGTTGTACTAATTGCCTTGCACGAGGAAGAACCAAGATACAGACGAACTAGTAATAGCTTGTCTAAGAAAAAACAGAATGGGAAAACAAACTGGTTAGACTTGAGTTGAGAGCAAACAAAAAGCAAAGCATGCATGCTACTTTGGTTCAGCGAAGTGGCGGAGGACAGTCTTCTGGAAGTGATCTGCCGCCCGCCAACTTCCAACTTGGTAATGTTGATTCCGATAGCAACGAACTACTAATGACATGCATGCATGCGAACTCGTGGACCGTACCTGTTGCTGAGATGAGACGAAAGAATCCAGAGGAGGAGCGAGGACTTTTGCAACAAAGCAAGCCACCAACTCACTGGAACCACCGCAAGACGACACCTTTACCAGCGAATTGACGAGAGGCACATTACCGGCAAATCCATTCCACTTGGATCCATACGGTAGGAACCACGGGCCCACCAGGAGCAGCTGCAAAAGCAGCACTGGAAAAGGTGTCATCGTCATGCGCCCACCCCAACTACTGTACATGTAGCTAGAACCGCGGCAAGAGGACTTCATGCAGCTCGATCGAACCACCAAGTCAACTGACGATCCAAGAGCGATTCTGATAAAGTAGCAAGACAAGAGAGGATGAGAACAACGGCGACCCGTCAAACAGAAGAACTGACTGTTCCCTGTCATGAGTACGAACCACCCCATCTAGCTGGAACCACCGCAAGATGACTCCAGACGATCAAAACGCCACAGAGGAAAAGCAAGGCACCATCTAGAATGAAGGTGATCATGCGGACGTGTATGGCGCGACCATGTTCCATCAACGGCATCGTCATGCGCCCACCCCAACTGGTAGATGGAACCACCGCAAGACAACTAGGATCCGTTCGACCACAACCAAAGGAGGAACCACGGAATGCTGACTCGACTCGACCTACGTTGGGAACTAAAGGCGATGAGGCGGCAACGGTCGACGACCGTGAAACTAGCAATGACACAAGAAAGACAGGAACACTTGGACTCACCTTGCACGAGGACGAACGAACGAGCCAACCATGTTCCGAGGACAAGCACTGGCTGTGATATCTGAGGAACCACAATTGGCTATACCCCGGATAGAGCACTTGCCCTTACGTGCCGCCCCAGGAAGAAAAAGATTCCTCGCAACCGACCAACCGACCGACCGACCGACCGACCGACCAACAGCAGCATTGTCAATACCTACATTGGGAACTAAAGGAGATGAGGCGGCAACGGTCGATGACCGTGAAACTAGCAATGGCACAAAGACAGGAACACGTGGACTTACCTTTACACGCGCGAGGACGAACCAACCCACAAAGGAACCACCGCAAGACGACTAGGATCCGTTCAACCACACAGCGGTCCGCGCGAGGGTCCACCCGTAGATGCACATCTCGAGGCACGTGAACGTGGGACTCTCAATACCATCATTGTCATCGTCATGCATGTCTTCCAGAGGAAGAAGAAGACAGAACTACCTAGTCCTAATAATTGTTGTGAGAGGGAAAGAGCAACAAAGTTTCAATGCGATCGTTTTTTGGGTGACAGCAAAGTTTTTGAAGTTTCAAATGCTTTCAAAATGACGTGTACCTCAACTATTTAATGCTTGTGCCAGCTTCTGGTCTGCGCAGGAAAGCACTATCAAAAATTAGTACGAAGTTCAGAGAGCACCGAATGCCTTCGAGAAGCTTCCGTTTAGTAGCGAGATACGAGGGGTGTGGAAGGTTTGGAATAGCGAGAATGATAGATGCAAATGAACACTGCCTCCGGCTACATCATGTATCTGTTGTCTCACAATACCTTTCAACCAAAAAGGAAAGCAATCAACAACTAAAAGATCATCGAAAAGCCCACAAAGCAGACAGTCAAGGAACCATGAAGACAATCTTGTTCACAGGGAGCACAGATGGCATCGGCCTGGAAGCAGTCCGCATGTTGGTCGGCAAAGGCCACCGTGTGTTGATGCATGGCCGCAATGCCAACAAGCTTGAAGCAGCTGCTCAGGAATTGGGCGTCACCGACACCTATACGGCCGACCTTTCTGATTTAAGTCAAGTGTATCGCATGGCATCCGATGTCAAGGCCAAACATGATCGTCTGGATGTGCTAGTCAACAACGCCGGAGTCTTCAAGGCTCCCAATGCCGACCGTCGTACCGTCAATGGATTGGATACACGTGTGGCTGTCAACGCCATTGCACCTTACATTCTCACCAAGGAGTTGTTGCCAATCATACCCAAACACGGTCGTATTATCAATGTCTCCTCGGCTGCTCAGTCCCCAGTCGATTTGAACAAGGCACTCCCCTCTACCGGACTCAAGGCAGGAAGTCCTTCACCATATGGTCAAGATTTTGATGCCTACGGACAATCCAAATTGGCCATCATGATGTGGAACAATGTCATGACAGCAGATCATCCCAATCACATTTTGGCATCCCTCAATCCCGCCTCCATGATTGGAACCAAAATGGTCAAGGAAGGATTTGGAGTGGCAGGAAAGAGCCTCGATATTGGACGAGACATTCTGGTAGAGGCGGCTGTTGGCAAGAAGTTTGAACGAGCTTCCGGAAAGTACTTTGACAATGATCGTGGTAACTTTGGAAATCCTCATCCCGATGCCAACAATATGCGCAAGTGCAGGAACTTTGTCCAAGCCATGGATGAATGGTTGGCAACTCATCTTTCCGAGACTTGCCAGGCGGGAGATTCTTTGAACTAACTATTGGGAGGCCGGTAGGGTGAGGAAGGAACGTGAATGAGTGGCTGCTTAGTTAGATCGGTGAAGGGTGTGTGCTTGCGTGGCCCGGTGTGTATATGTCACGGTTTTATGGGTGGATTGCCCCAGTGTGATTTGCGCAGTCGCTCGATTCTAGTAAAGACAAAATAATCATGATGTGTTCATGGAACAAACACCATAGCAGCTGGTAGCTACTCGTGTGTGAGCTAGCTAGAGAGAGCCATATAGGACTGTTCGGACAATATTTTGTGTATATGTAAAGGTATGTTATAGGTAGCATGTAGCGACTACAAAGCGCAAATCGTTCCATGTCATGGTTGAAATTGCATTGGTACCAGCCAAATCTTCCGACTGGTCGCGGATTCACCATATGGTTCATGCATTACAATAACCCAATGCTACGGCGCCAGTTGCCACCGTCCACCACCTGCCAGGGTCGTTGTATGCATACTCTAGGCTTAGATCTCATTCTACATGTACATTATTGGAGTGGCACACGAGGATACAGCACAGATTGGCGCAACCGCACCGTCCGGCGAACAGATTCTTTGGGCACAACAAGGCAAGGAACACGCAAGACATGCAGCAAAAGACACCCAGAATCGTCTATCGAGGGCACACTTCAGACTCCTTTGCGCCCAAATCGCTCGTTGATCGTCTGCTACATCAACACAAAACACAAAACTAAAGCAAGTCCCTTCGTCCATCATGCTCCTGCTATCAATCACAGACTTGCACCCAACGGCAAGTACCGGTACCGCCCGACGTGGTCGCATTGCCAAAGGCTTCCAAACTCAAGCCAAAATCACCACGTTGTGATCCGTCCAGCCCACGGACAGCCACCGTGTAAATGGTGTTGGGTTCCGTCTCCCATTCCACTGTAGAGGCAAGCCCTGATGGAGAGTGTTGACACTCAAAGTCATGCTCGTTCCACCAAGCATTGCAAGCAGTGGGATTTCCGCTATCACATAGACCAGTCGTAACAACGATCTCTGTATCGAAGTCAAGCTCGACTTCTCGAGTGCAAGTGCTGGCTCTCATGCGTTGCCCAGTTCCCGCGATGGTGTAGAACGCGACCGCATAGTCTCCCGTGTTGCACCGGAAACTGGAGGTGGTGGAGTTGGAAGTACTGCCATACGCCACAGTGGTCGTGTAGACCATAGACATGGCTTCAAATGTAGCTGTGATGTTGTTGTTGTCATCTTGTTCTTGTTTACTGCTTGCGACTGGGATATCCAAAACCTCCTGGGACCCCGGTTGTTTAGTTGCCGGTTGGATGCGGATGGCCTCTGTGCAAACGTCATTGGAAGGGCGAACAAACTCATGCACCATCAATCCAAAGTCTCCTGCGTCGTTTGCAGTGACTCCACGAACAGCAACGATATAGGGGACGTTTTCCTCGGATAGGAACTCAATGGTGCTGCCCATCCCTTCCTCATCGCAGTCAAAATCGTGGTCACTTGTATGCAGGGGGCAGCTGCTGCAGTCTTCCATTACGGCGAGTGCCGAGTTGAAGTTGGTTTCATTGCTGCAGGTACTGATAAGGATGGGTCCTCCAGTGCCCACAAACCTGTAATAAACTGCCAGCTTGTCGCCCACCTCGCAACGAAAGTCGTTGAAGGTGGCGTTGGCGGTACTCCCCAACACGGTGATGCCTCCATGATTGGTTGGCTGAATCAATGTGGAGTCTTCGCAAGCATTATTTTCTGGCACGACATATTCCTGGATGCTCAATCCAAAATTACCAGATCCGGCCACAGTAGTTCCTGTCACAGCGACGGTATACAGGGAGTCCGGCTCTGCATAAAACTCCACAGTGGCACCCATCCCTGCGGGATCGCAGTCAAAGTCGTGTTCATTCGAGTGATCCTGGCAGCCAAAGTTGTCACAATTTCCATTGTCAACAATAAGAGCGGAGTCGTAATCGGTAGCGTCATGACACGTCGTCACCCTGTAGCGGGCACCAGTACTACGAAACTTGTAATAGACCTGTATCATATCGGGAGTGAAATCAATGGTAATGTCAAAACGAGGCCACGCAGGAAAGGGACTGGTGGTTGCACTTGTTGAAGACTTACTGCGGTTCGTTGAGGAGTGCATCGTATCGAATCCAGCTCGGCATTGGCGGTGCTTCCTGTGATCGCAGTGCCCGCCAAGACGCTGCTGGCATTCACCAAGATGGCCGATTCACAAACATCATTGGGGGGGGCCTCCTGCAGCTTACGTACGGAGCCTTCTCCTGAGACCAAAAGGGCTGGGAGGAAGAAGAAAGAGAGGCAGCTCTTGGTGAACCTCATGGCCTTGATTTTCGTGATGGTGGGGATCGAGATGCCTGTCGAAAGCAACAGAAAAATGTGGGTTCTTGGTTCCATGGATCTTTTGCTTGCTGGTGCTTCGCGTACCAGTTACGGTAGAGCGTAGAGTTTCGGTACCGGTACAGTACGGTAGGACAGTACTGTACGCCTTCCCATAGAGGTCCGATTCATTCGATTCGCTTCGAGAAAGGTGACATTCTGTAGTCGTGGATCCGTAGAATGCCGCCGGTAGATGTGCTATTTGTAGCTTACTCTGAACTACTAGTAGTTTACTCCTCCTCTGATGTTGAGATATTCTATTGTTTTCTGAAGAATGAGCATTGAAATACCATACTTGATTAACCCACAGATTGGACTCGATTCTTGTTGATACGGTCGGAACAAGTAGTGATTGCTATAATCCTTTCAACTACCGTACTGTATGGGATATTCAAGGCAGATTTTAAACTCTTATAAGGCTCTTTCAAGGATGCCAAAAGCTAAAGGTTTTTCTGCTTTTATTAACTTCTTCAAGTTTGCTTTTCAATAGAGTGCGATAGTCCAACAAGCGAAGACAATACCGTACATCGTACCAGTCTCGTGGCACCACTTCCTAGATACTGGTAGTAGAAACAGGAAGCTTCAATACACGGTGTACACTGTTATTATCTCATCAAAGATACAAATCCAATGTAGATACTGAGAACCCGTATGCTTAGAGGAAAGCTTTTGGAAATCCAGAGTATCTTATGAGAAGGGTATGCATAGAAGCCTTTGATTTGTATTCATTCATCACCACTAAGTCTTCATCGCTTTCTTCTTTTGCACGACAGAGACTTAACTCTGTCTGTGCGCCAATTGTTGGCTACGCCACACGACTCAAGGCTTCGGGCAAATTAGCCTATCTTTAATTAATTAAAGGTTATCTATGCCAATCTTGGCTTAACTAAGCCTGCAGATTCTTATCTAAATAAGTCTACAGGTTGAAAAGTACTAAATTTTATATACTAAACAGTATTCTTGGTTTCTAAAGATTAGCTCGGACGCTCGGACAATGCATACATGCATACATACATACTGTACCTTCAAATAGAATAGCTTTGCCAATCCACACCTCGCGCCGTCCCATTTATGTCCAAGTGATGGTGTCCGGCCGGGAAACTCTCACCGACGGCTGGACTCAGTAAGCGCAACACCACTTGGACTGCTTCATCTCAACACACGCACTCTCTCAATCAAACAGAAGAAACTAGCTATCCCCAATATCAGAATAGATTATATCCTATGGTAGACACTCCAGCTACAATGCCTCATAGAGACCCTTCATGGCCGTGCTTAACTTGCAATAGAGTTCACCCCTAGTAATTCCCCCGTCACAACACTCTAAAACCCACGAGGCAAAGACGCAACAAAGCAACCCAACCCAATGGCAGCAAACGTGATCTAGGCGGTGCCTGCCGCTCACACTCTTGCCGACGAATACAGAAGAGACTCTCGGATGTTTTATGTATCCCAGTCACCAGAAACAACAAGTACAATACATCCGACAGCGATCGACAGTATCAATGTTCCCGACGGCTACTATCTAGAGTCCCCTGCCTCCGATTTCCGCACTAACACGACCAGGAGGAGACTGTGCTGCGGCCTTTCGTACCTGGGAACTGGACAACGTATGCAAGTGAGCACCTGCTTGCAGAATTGGAGCCTGATTTTGAAAGTGAAGTCGTGGTTACAACTGTCCCTTGGCGGAAATCCCTACGTCTCCTGTGATGCATGGTAGAACACTCGCCCCCGTGGCTTACCTCCTCTACAGTGGAACGGGCCATGTTATCCAGACGCACTGATCAAACCTTTGGTTTAATAGGCGAAATTGTTTAGTTGGTGAAGGTAGTTCCCCCTGGCTTGTGGCTAGTAAACCATTCTTCTTCTGGTTTACTTGGTTCGATAGCATGGCGGCTGCATAGCAAACTCTATGATGGTCGCTTCAGCGACGGCACGTCACTACGATTGCTCGTCTCCAAGTCGGAAGCATGTTGGAGCTAGTCTGCGGCCAGTCAGTTTCTGTGGCAACGGGAGCCGTTTTGTGAGCAAGGATCGAGTTGGGAACGAGGGAAACAAGAAGGAACGCGATTTCAAGATGAGGGGAAATGTTTTTTAATGGCTGGTAGGTTGGCAAACAACCCACAGTTCAAAGGGGATGAGCAAAAATGCCAATACCACTGCATTGAATTTGTTAGCTCTTTTTTGTATAATTGTGTCTGTAAAGGAAATATTATGTTTTGGATGTTTGTTTTCTATTGGATTTGATTTGATTTGATTAGATTGCATTGAATTGGATTGGATTGAATTGAATTCCATTTTACTATACAAATATCAGTACTAATTTTGATCCAATTCAATCCAATGCAATCTAATTCAATGCAATTCAGTGCAATCCAATCCAATTTGTCTTAATTTTAGTCCAAAGCTTGCATTTCGCTTTTTAAACTGTTATTTGGAGTCGCAATTGAGTACACTACAGCCCTATAGCAACATTTGCTCATCCCCAAAGAGAACCTGGCCTCCTGGCCTCAGATCAGGACAAACCATTTGTGTCAAACTGCATCGACGGATGTGAACTCGAACCATGTCTTCTTGAACACAGGAAGCCCCAGGAAGCCCCAGGAAGCCCCAGGCAACCCTTCAATCCCTTCGTCCACTCCCTTTCTTCGCCACACTGTTCCCGACCATGTACTGTACGGTATGCATCGTTGGTCGCAGCCACCGGACCCACTCACTTGATGCAATGTGCCATTGCAATCAATCAGCACTCATTCCCTGCTCACGAAAAGCCAAAGTAGGCGCCGCTGCAGACCCCAACTAGAGGGTTGCTTGAGGAGAGAGGTGCGGGTGGACGAAGACACCAGTCTTCTTCTTCTCTGCGTGTTCAAGTCCTCACATTTCGAGAAGAACCGTTTCAGAGGTGCAGAAGAACAGCTAGCTATACGTACCGGTACCTGGCTCTAGCTAGTGGAGGCTCCATCTGTGACTTGAGCTAGATATGGCCCAAACGCCTGATGGCATGGTGACGAAGTAAAAGTAGGGGTACGCTGTACATGTACCTTCTATTATAGTGCCAGCTCTTGGCTGGACGCCCAAACAAAGCCGGTTTGCCCCTCTGCATCCGCAAGCTGTGCGGTGTCTGGATGGTGCCCGATAAATGGTTCGGAATATCCTACTGTACTTCCGTATCTTACTATGTACCAGGTACCTACCAGAAGCAACAACGAGAACGCTGAATAATTTCTTTCATTTAGTAAGTTCCAGCAGAACCAAATATTAATAGGCCTTTCATTGCGCTGCCTTGGCAGGATTTTGGATCACATCACCGTAGATAACCGTGTGAGTCAGCAAAAGATTGACCCCAACAAAAGATCAACGGAGAGAAGTCACTTTGCTAACTCCTGACCTTGAAGTTTCCATAAGCTTGACGCAAAGCAGAAAGCAGTCTTCGTAGGTGTCTCAGTAGAATTTTAAAAATGGTCTAGGTAAAAAAAAGAACTCAGAAAGGAAAGACCAAATTTTAAAAATGTTGAAGTTATTTTTATCGACGTCAGCAAGTATGCTTGTACCTGGTACCGTACGGTAGGCAAGCAGACGGCCCTTAATAAAAGGCTTCACCTTTACAAAAATTAATGTGAATCCGTTAGTAGAAAATGAGAAGTACTTCTCAAACGTCACTTTGAGCATTCAAAGGTCCACTGTCCACTGGCTGACGTGGGTCACATCTTCTACGGCGCCGTCTCACATCAACGGATGCGGACTGACTATGCGTCCCGGTACCAGGTATCGTACCTTTGTTTGGCAACAATTCACATATGTGCATTTTTGAGCATCGCGAAGCGGCTAGCTAGGGATGGTCGGATCGCTCACTTGAAAGCAAACAAGAGGCAAGCTCTAGCCAGCTAGAGGTTGGCTGAGTTACCAGTAATAGATGTAAATGCAGGAGCTCTAGCTAGCCTGCAAGATAGTACGGACAGTGGATCAAGTTAGTTGATTTTTGTTCTAATATTTGTGTAGTTACATGTACATACTTGGTACCATACCGGAAGTGAGGACGCATGAGAACAGGATGTGGAGGTATCCTCAGATGAACCCAGGTGTTTATGCATGAGGCAGGCAAGTCTCGTTGGAATGGCAGTGTAGTAGGACAGTACCGGAAGGCCAGGTACCTTTTAGTCCACCCCCCAAGTTGCTAGCATGTTCGCCTTAGGCAGTCTTCGCGGCAACTGCGAGAAGAAAGTTGGATGGCTTGGATTGCTTTCGGACCATCCTACCAACAGT